TTACTGATGGATCAAAAAAGCTGCGAGGTTTCAACAATTAACAGGATGAAATGAAATGGAACATCACATTTGAGGTACAGAGACACAGTCAAGCAAACTTGGTATGTGCATCAAAATCACTAAGCGAACTCTGCAAACTCCTAATGACCAAAAAAATCATAAGAGTGAAAAGCAAATCAATAGGCAAGTCAGCAGTCGCATTTTGCCAATGCGTTTGTCCAGGAAATCCCTAGAAAAGAAGTCATGATCCTGTTTAGGACAAGAAACTAAAGATACACGATCAGAGAATGCTGTCTTAAATGCTCAACGTTTTCGTTTGGCGGCATGCCGTTCCTCGTTGGCGCGATAGTTGACATTGTCCTCAGAATCTGTGTCCTTAAGTTCAATAGGGCGCCGTGCCAGATGGTCATCATCTTTGAGGTCGGACCATTTGATCGCGATGAACTTCAGCCCCACGTGGTAGCTGTGAGCAATCGTGTACTTCTCCGGAGTGGTGACGATTCCCTTTTTAGCTACATTGAGCTGACATTTCTCGTTCCCTCCACCGCGCAGTGCAAGATGTTCCACTGAGCCTCTATAGATCGCCCCAATGGTGATTTCTTGCTGGCCTTTGCCTTTCTTCTCCATGGAATCGAGCAGTTCTTGTTCTGCCCATGATGGGAAGTTCTTGTCAGCATTGGCAATCTGCCGGCCTATGTAGAATGCTCCAAAGGTGGGCATGTGGCATCTCTGTAGATTTTTGTGGTAAGCCCAGTTTGCTGGTCGGATCTTGCCCTCCATAAGGATCAGCTGTGCGGTACTGAGGGTCGTACCATGGCCAAGTGCCCATGTGACGAGGGTTTGGCCGCCAAACGGTGGGGGCATTTTGAATCGATCCATTTCTGGCAGCGGCATGACCAAGGCTAGCATGCCTGTTTGTGGAAGTTCGCGAACATAGTATGCGGACAAATCAAAATCCGTTAGGATGCCTGTACTTGACAATAAATGTATGGCCTTTCTGCCAATGTCTGTGGGGATTCTCACGTCCACGTTGGTCAACTCGTCCATGGATTCGTCAAAGTGCTCTTGGACAATACTCATGGATGGTTGGGGAAGCTCCTTTGCATCAAGTTCATTTGCGGCTCTCATCCGATCAGGATGGGTGAGAGCATGTTTGACTTGGCGAACCCATTCCTCTCTGGAACCTTCTTGAAGGTTGATGGCCATATGACCAGGTGGAAGAGTGGAAGTTCTGGATTGAGCTGAACCAGAGCGATTGGGATGATTGCCCTGGCTGTGGGAGTGCTTTTCCAGCGAGTACGCCGTCAGAGGCTTTGAAGGATACTTGGAAGGCTGTTCATCATAAGATTGATGTTTGTAGTGTGGCTTTGAGTAATCGATCCATCCAGAGGGATGCGTGTAATATTGAGACTTGGACTGGTCTTTCCAAGACTGCCAAGGCTTCCACTTTTTGGTGGAGCCGTAGTCAGGGTAGGTGGAATAGTCTTGGTAGTCCGACTTGTCGGGAATTGAAGATTGTTCGTAGTGATGGTCATGCCAAGATGGAGGTTGCTGTGTAGTGGATGGATAAGTATACTCATCACGACGTCGAAGTTCATCACGTTGATGTAGGTCTTCCCGGTGACGTGGAGAGTTGGAACGAAGAGTGACTGACTGGGGACGGCCTGGAGACATGGAGTCATCCCGTGAGCGGGAACGTCGACGAGGTTGGCGGGAACGACTGTCCCGTCTGTGACGTCTTGGACTTCTCGGGATCGAAATGGGACGTTTGTCCACCTGAGACGGAATATGTTGAGACCTTGACCTGGAACGGCGATGAAGCCGTGGAAGTGGTGGTAATGGGACAATGGGTGGAGATTCTGCGACTGGAGTCACTGATGGGAGTGGAACCCCACTTGCATGAGGGCTCTTAGACCTTTCTTTGGTCATTTCCATAAACGCCTGCATGCCAGATTCCACTGTGTTGCGCATCTTTTGCATCATCTCTTCTGGATTGAAAGTGGGATGTGGCTCTTGTGGAGCGGGTTGAGATGGAGTTGGAACAGGAGGAGTCTGGACTGGTGGCACCGTTGGTGGCTCAGGCACTGATGGAGGATTTTGATGAGATGTGGTTTGTTGGGAGGTCTGATGGAATGGGAGAAGTTGCTGGAGTTGCTGAATATGGGTCTGAGCTTGGGAATTCAACTGTTGATGCAGTAATGCATTTTGGTCCCGTAACTGAGCCAACTGAGCTTGAGTCTGAGCTTGTGACTGAGCTTGAGACTGTTGGTTCATCAGGTCACCTCCACAAAATTGACCAAATTGTGCTGCAGGTTGAGGTGAAGTAAAGGCAGGCGCTGACCAGCCACAGTTCCACATGTTCTCCGAAAAGTTTGGCCAACGACCAGGAAACATGGCCAAAAATAATAACAGGTCTGGCAGCACTGTCAGACGATCACTATAGTGGTAAAACATTAACATTGGATGCATCCACAACTCATGCAGTATTCGTGATAAGGCTCAAAGGCCCTCGGCTTTCAAGTCACAACCCTCTGGACGGCTAACGTGTTCAACCCCTGAATTAGGTGCACAATTGAACCTCACCAACGACCATCAAAAGAAAGGAGAACCACACCTGAAGCATGTCCTGTAGCCTCACCTGATCATGAGCATGATGCATAATGCTGAGCGTTCTCTCGAGCAACATTGAAAAACGGATGTTGACGTGGCTGCCAGCTATGAAGAACGGTAAAAAAGGGAGTCCCCGAGACAGCGGGAAGCTGTTCAACACTCACTCGACCGACATGTGAAACAATGAAAAATGGCCAGCTGTTCACTTTACTTAGACGAATTACTAATTCAAAAGTGTAAATTCAGACATCGATTTACTGTCAATTGTTAGCCTGGAAAGGCTTTCCCCGAAGGGTTCCTGCCAACTTGACGTATACAGCAGGAATGACACACTTGCTCAGAAAATTCTTATCGAATTACTGTTGTGGAGTGCATCGGTCGTGCACAAACAATCCCTTAAAGTCTGACAGGTGAGAGTTGGATGACATGGCAGGAAAACCAGTAAAGAAGATTGCTTTCTTTGTCCTTGCAAAAACAACTGTTCCATCTGACGAAGTCGGCAGTAATTCAGATTGCGAAAACCGTACAATATAATGAACCTGTTGACATTGAAGTTCTGAGGAAGGTCCTGATGCAACTGAAACACTGAACAACGACATGCCGGTTCTTGGCTTAGCCGGTTGCCATTGACGGGAAAATAAAATGGTGTTGCAGGTACGTCACCAGGCGTCCCTGGTGATATCCTAGGATCATATGAGGAGCTTCGTTGGATGGAGCCTCATACGTCCTCTCCATCCCCCTGCAAGTACGAAGTAAAATTGAACCAAGTCAAAGCTATAGGAAGTTTTACATCTTTTCAGATGTTCCACACACACACACACGCTTCTACACACGAAAGGTCTTACACACACAAGCTGTCACACAAGGACGCTTTTACACACAGACGCTGATACACACACAAGCTTTTACACGCATCATCATCTGTTACACACAGACGCTTTTACACACGGCAAGCTTTTACATACAGGGGAAGAGGGGGGGGAACAGGGGAACAGGGGAACACACAGACGCCTTTACACTGTTACACACACGAGTTTTTACACACAGAAGCTGTTACCCACAGAAGTTATCACACAAACAACATTTCACACACAGAACACTGCTACACACACACTCGTTTTTACACACAAAAAGGTGTGAGACACAAAAGGTGAAGATGCTGATGATCACGTCGACCATGACAGTGTTGATGAGCATGATGATGGTGATGATGGTGATGATGGTGATGATGATGATGATGAAGATGCTGATGATCACGTCGACCATGACAGTGTTGATGAGCATGATGATGGTGATGATGGTGATGATGGTGATGATGGTGATGATGATGATGAAGATGCTGATGATCACGTCGACCATGACAGTGTTGATGAGCATGATGATGGTGATGATGGTGATGATGATGATGATGATGATGATGAAGATGCTGATGATCACGTCGACCATGACAGTGTTGATGAGCATGATGATGGTGATGATGGTGATGATGGCGATGATGGTGATGATGATGATGATGAAGATGCTGATGATCACGTCGACCATGACAGTGTTGATGAGCATGATGATGGTGATGATGGTGATGGTGGTGATGATGGTGATGATGATGATGATGCTGATGATGATGATGAAGATGCTGATGATCACGTCGACCATGACAGTGTTGATGAGCATGATGATGGTGATGATGGTGGTGATGATGATGATGGTGATGATGATGATGATGATGATGATGATGATGAATATCATGAATATCATGAATGAAGGTGCATCCCGTGCACAGGCGAGTCCGGCCATCCCGTGCACCAGCGAGCCAAAATCCCGTGCACAGGCGAGGCGGTTACCCTGCAAAATGTGTCTACAAATCTCTCGGAACATGCAAGGCATCGCAAGGTATGGCAAGGAATGGCATGGCATTGAATGACAAGTCCTCTTTTGAGTGCATTGTTTTTCTGCTCGGAATGCGTTTGGACCGCTGGTCCTGCAACACAGTCTTTCCTCGCTCGCCGCCTACCGGCAGCTGTTGGTTCCGGTGGCCAAATCAAATTTGCAGCAAAGAAGCGAGAAAGTTCCGCCTATGGCGTAGAAGCATTTGATGCCAAACCAGTTTCCACCCATTGGGCACATTGGATGAGTAAAGACCGGCATAATACCTCTCAGGTGTCACGTGGAAAAGTTGGACGACTGATCATTCATGACGATCAATGAAGATCAAGAACGATCAATTTGGGCCATGTTATCAAGATCTAGCAATGACTAGCAACAGCGATCAACGACCATCAACGACTCACAATGACAAGCAATGACAAGCAAGGACCTTGGGTGATTAGTAATGATCAATGATTATCAACCGCCATCAATGACGATCAGTGTTCTAAATCTCGCATGATTGCTCAAAGCAGATTTGGTTCCCTCCCTGCTGCCATCGCTCCAACGCTGAGCGCGACTTCGACGTTGTTCGAGCAGCCAAGGCTCGCAGAAATGGAGGCACTGAGCCCAATCCAAGCACTCGGAAGGTAACCAGGTATTGATGCACTCAAGCCAACGCCAATAGCAGCCCAAACCGAGACGAAAGCTGAAGGAACCACCAGCTCCTTGACCAAGCTTTCGAAGGCGCCTGCACTGCCACCGGACCAGCCAAAGGAGACCGAGCCATAGGAGCCCAAAGCTTTGTAGTAGCCCTCAGCATACCACAGCGACCACTTCCCGAAACATTCGACCATTGCCTCAAAGAAATCCCAGATCCCTTCACTTCGTGTGCTCAACAGTGCAAGATGGGCAAGTGACTGGTTGGACACCTGGCGCAACGGTGTAGCTTCTCCATGAGCTTCAGCATCTTCAGCTTCAGCTTTGGTTCGCTGCCATTTCTCAAACTCCACGCGGTCGACAAGCTTCATCATCTTCGAGACTCCGCCAGGTGATTCAAAAAACTTTTTCAGAACTCGTTTCACAGCCTTGTTGCCAGCAAGGCCATAGGCATGCGCAGCCTCCGAGCAAACAGCTTGAAGGGTTTCACATGTTTCACTCAATTTGCGCTATAGAATGATTTAATTTGCTTCACAAAAATTAAAGTAAGGTAAGTCACTGCAAGTCACTGTAAGTCGATGCACAAAACAAAACACGTCAAGACAGTGTCCACTGCACTGCGCCTCCAGAGAGGAAGCTTGCGCCTCGCGGCGCCAAAGTTGCACCAGCACTGGGTGTTCTGAGAGATGACTTTGGAAGCGCCGTTGCAAAGTAGCGCGGTTGATAATCTCAGCCTTCAAATGAGAGAGCGCTCCACTTTTCATGAAGAGTAGGGTCTGCTTGTAGCTGGCTAAAGCAACATCCCAGTAGTTCGTGTGGTCACACTTCATCCTCACACATACAGGATACCAAGTTTCCTCCCAGCGCTTCACAACCGAATGCGACACATTGTCTGAGGATGTCAAAGAATTCAGAATTTGATGAGACTCCCGGGTGGCCTTGTCCAAGGCTGCAGACGTTGAAAAGGCCGAACGCACCGCAGCAGTGTCCTCATGATTCTCCTGATTCTCCTGGATCATGGACGGAACAGCCAAGCTTGTGGCATCCAACTTGTCGAACATGTCGCACCTGTATTTTTCTGGCGGGAATTGACCGGGAGCTGTCTGGTTGATGTTTGACTCCTTGATCAAAGCTTCGGTAAGCATGTTCCAAATGATGTCAAAGCTGGCGAGTTGCTCCATGATCGCCACCAAGAAGGCAATGGGAAGCTTACCAGCCTCTACCGCTGGCTCGATGAGGCAACTTGCAATTCTGATGCACTGCTCTATGTGAGTCCAATCTTTTAGAGGGCAATACTTGTTGGCATCCTCACCCATGACCTCATGCAAGGCACCATAGAATCCGGCAGTTTTATCATATAATAGCTCAAGATCCTTTGAATAGTTGCCAAAGCGGTACGCGATGTTGAGATGCGTCACATTTTTGCCGCTGCTGATCAGCCCAGAGTAATTGGTCAAGTTGACGAGGGCGATGGGAAGCGACACGGCCAGCTCTTGTAGCTTCTCAAGACCATCCTTCTCAGCCATCTCAGCCTCACCGCGGAGTGCAATCTGCTTCGTCACAGAGGAGTGCACTTCGAGGAAACTGAAAGGACTGACTTTTCTCCTGATAGCTACAGCACCCACATAGCTCTCTGTCTCTGGGCGAATAGAGTACAGGTGACACCAGCCGTTGCTTGGATAATAGACTGCACCCATGCAGGTCTGGTCCTGCTGACAGCCCGCGGGCTTATCATCATTCTCACACTTTGCTTGACATTCAGCCTGTGTGATCTGAGACCAGCCATCGCAGTTTCCCCCGCACTCGTCATAGGTGTACGGGAAGCCTTTGCACCTTTGATCGGTAAAATATTCCCACGGCTCTGGAGTCCAGTGGTCACCATAGCCGCTGTAGGTGACGGTGAACCTTTCCCAATCACCTGTTGGGGGTGAATTCCAATTATACTGCTGAGCTGTCGTAATCACTGTTTGATAGTCCATCATCACGAATCGATTGAAGTAGCCGCTGTGCAAGCCAATTTTGCCGTTCCCAAGATCCACCACCTGGAACTTCTCCCACTGCCAGCCACCTTGAAGATCTGCCTTGGCCATGACGTGGGTGGAACGCATTTTCTGCGTGTCGGTCATTTGAACATACCGCCCAAACTTTTCATTGTACAAGCCAAGCATTCCCATTCCAACGTCCACTACTCGGAACCTTTCATCATCGCAGGAGTCACACAAATCATCTGCTCCTTGTTGATGCGTGGTGACCAAGTCGGCACTATCGATGTTGATCATTTTCATAAAGCGCTGGTGCCAGGGGTTGTAGAACGACACCTTCTGGGACATCAACCAAGGCTTGCAGCTAGCTCCTTTTGGAAAGTAGAGATACGGACAATCATCTTTCTGATAGGACTCGGTTTTCACAAGAAACTTCTCCCATGTGTGGGAGCTCTGCAACTGGTCAAAGCCCATAGGACCGAGGACAACCAGTGCTGAGCCGTCCATCTTCACAAAATGCTGAAAGTGTGGATTGTGGAGAGCAACGTTTGGAGCGTAGTCCACCAAGGTAAAGTGCTCGCCGCCGCTGGCATCGCAGTTGAGTTCACCTGCATCACGAAGTCCACCGGCCCGGATAAAGCCCTGAGCATCCATTGCGAGGAAACGGTTGTGCTCAATGTTGTGAAGAGCAATATTTCCATTGCCCGCATCCACCACTTCGAATCTCTCCCATGTCCAGCCATTTGGCAAGTTCGGTGGGACCGAGTATTCCCAACCTGGAAAGGTGTGTCTTGGAATGACAGCTGATGCATCTGCCCAACCACCTTCTTTGACCCGAATATAGCGCTCATGATATGTGTTGTACAAACCAATGGTCTTGCCAATGATATCAGCTTTGCAGCTTGCTCCATGCGAAGTGTGGAGACTAGGACATGGCCTGGTGTAGGTTTGATGCAGCACTCGAAAATCATACTTTGATACATCACTTTGTGGTCCTCCAATCCCCAAACCTGCGGTGATCGCCTCAACCGGGCCAACTTTAATGGCTGAGAACTCGTTGATGATGAACCGCTCGTTGTGAGCACTCCAAATCGCATGGCCATACGGAGTCGACTGAAAGCTGAATCTCCCTCCTGCCGGGAGCCGTGCCCACTCAAATTCACTCAGGACTTCACTCACCTGCAGAGATCCACCGTTCATGATGAGGTACCGGTTCCATTCGGTGTTGTGTAAGGCATGTGTGCCCGAGCCAGTGCCCTAGGTGGAAGCGCACTCAAAACAATCTGGGGATACCTGGGGACAATGGACATGAACCCATGGCTTTCTTATGGTTTCCTGAACTTTCTCAACGAAAGCGCCGTAAAGTCATTTTTTCCCAAGCGATATGCAACCCAGGTCTGAACTACACGTCAGCAGCAGCATGCCCTGAGTTGGTTGTTTATTTCATTTTTGGGTTAACAATTTCCACTGATCTCGGTTTTCAGCAATTCGTCAAAGGAGATGCATAAAACGAGTGGTATATATATATACTTGTGGAGGAAAAATTCTTAAGTTCCACAATTGCGAAACGTTGGTAGAAAGGATGTGAAAATTCTCCTCGTAGGGGAGGAGAGTTCCTGAAATGGTGAACTCCGTGTGAGGCTTCGGATAGTACTAACTCAGGCCAATGGGCGCGCGGTGCGCCTCTACGGAATGGAGATGAAATGGTAGAAAGAGAGGAATTAAAGCAAATATGGAATTCTGGAAGAATAAGATGTCTAAGGATATGACCAACGTGTTTGATTATCGAATCAGTGATTAGTATAGAAGATGGAACACATGAAGGTAATATGGGGAGTAGGTATTCGTTGGAGCAAGGAGAGTCAAAGGTTTGGAGAACTCGGTGATAATAAGGATTTTCAGTTTGGAATGTCTGGCGGAGAGCTTTATAGTGAAGGGAATCAATTTTTGCTATTTCGGCTGGAGAGCAAATTTGTGATTCTGAAGCACGGGGTAAAAACTCGGAGTTTAAATTTCTGGGAAATCATTGGGTGGCAAAAAAGGCCAAGAGATTTGAAGGCAGAGGATGCTTGCGAGCATCTGAAGCTTACATCCGGGATGGAGGAAGGTGCAATAAAAGTGCCTATAGGTATTTAGCACTCTTTAGCGCGGGAGGGTCAAAAGGATTGGGATCTGGAGTCGAAAAAAAGGGTCAAAAGGGACAATTACGTGCAATTACAATGAGATTGCGCGGCAGAGAGAAACAAACCGAAATGGGGAGAGAGGAATAAACGGAATAGAGTTGAATCGAGGCAAAGGAGTTGACACTTGGATCCATTTGTGCCATTTAAGAGGAAGCCGATACTCGCAGCAAGATGCTGGAAACGGAGGAGACGAGAGAGTGTCTCTTGTGTGCGGGCAATGAGAACAGTATCGTCAGCGTTTCGACGTCTGCGAATGGATTCTTGAAGGAGCAAGTCTAGGGGCGATAGGAGAAGATTTCCTGGAATAGAGAATTTAGATCTGAAGTGAGAGCAGAGAGAATAATGATAAAGAGGAAAGGGCTAAGCGGACACCCTTGACGGATTCCCCTGTGGAGAATGTGATGAGGGGAGTCTGAGAAAAATTCAGAAACAAAGAATTTGGCATTATGATATAATGCCATAATGGCATGAATCAATATTGGGGGAATGCCGTATCGACGTAGAGCTGCGGCAAGATGTTGATGGCCAATAGAGTCAAAGGCTTGTGACCAATCGAGGAAGAGGCTGTATAGAGACGTATAGTGCCTTTGCGGAAAAGAAAAATGGAAGTGGAAAAGGGGCGATTTGGCGGAAACCACATTGTTGGGGCTGGAGATATTGATCAATAGCGTGTGTGGAGTTTGGGCGGGCATGTATGCGCAATCGTGTTTGCGAAGTATTTTGCTGGTGTTGCAGTGGCATTCAAGTTTTTGGCGGTTTATCGGTGGTCTTTGCTTGTGGGCGTCTGCGTATTTCAATGGTGCGTTGCATCTGAGCGCAGACATAATACATCCTATCAAACAATCCTGCACACTTGTGGCCCATGACATCTCCAGCGTTTTCGTGTCCAAGCCTATATAAGGAAAAGGCAGCTTGCGTATGATAAAGTACACAAGTGCAAATCTCATCCGAAACAAAAAATGAAATACCGCCAACGCCGATTCTGCATTTTCAAGGGAAATTGTGATTTCTGGTGCGCGTTTTCGATTTGATTGAATAAGTCCGGTTTTCTGCATTTTTTTCCGCATTCTCTTGGCAGCCGGCGTGCTGAAGTGCAATTTACATCTATAGGGATATATAGGGCATGTTCCCTCTCTTTTTTAAGTTCTGTAGTCTTGGCACTGCTTCACTGGCTTCACGATGATGTTTAGGTAATATATGGTCATATTTTGTTGGTGTCTTCTGGATCTGGATTCCTTCTCTAGTTCGAGAAACTGAGAGAAGTTTTTGCTTAAGATTCATCATGTTGGTACTGGGATCTTTCTGGCTGTGTATATATATATATATCATATTTGTATAATATCTTTTGTGTCTACCTAATTTGATAGGGGAACGGTGGCAGTTTGCTACCCGGGATGTCTTAAGATATTTGAATGCTTTCCGTGGTTTGCCGTGCTGGTTGGCAGGAAAGTTGACGATTTGTAGGACAATTTGAGGATTTGCAGGAAATCTGAGGATTTACGTTGGATTGTAGGAACATTTGAAGGTTTGCAGGATTTGAAGTGAACAATGATGAAAAAAATATTTATAAATAAATAAATAAATAAGTCATCGCACGTTTTGAATGAATATTCAACAAAAAATGAAACAACTTATATGAAAAGGGTTTAAGTCGGGACAGCGTGAGATATTTGATTCGGGTCATGAAAGTTCTTTGTATAAAATAGCTACATTGATGGTGTTTTTCTAACTTGGTACCTGGCCATACCCTCGGCATCAAGAAGTCATCATTTACCATCCGTTTACGGAAACCGACGGTCCACTACAACAGTCCAAATGATCCACTACGAGAATCCACTTCACTACGTCACATTGCGTCAATGTCACAAGTGCTTCCAAGACACCACCAGCTTGAAGCGCTCAGCTCTGGCCTCATCTGCAAGGTTGTCGTTCCCGCCCCAGGAGTGTCCAACCTGACACCCTTGGATACGCAACCACCTGCCCTCCTTCAGGCCGCGAATTGCAATGTATGATCCTGCTGGAGGAAGTTGAAAGCCTGGCACCAAAAACCATTTGGAAGCCATGGTCCCTTCAACCACATGTTCGTAAAATATGTGCGTGTGTGCGAAACAGATGTGTGCAAAAAAATAGTGGAAATAAAAGGACCGGATAACCCCACATGTCAAGCCTTTATGTATGTAAGATTTTAATGTGAACTTCGGGGAGGTGTGAGAAGTGAGGTGTGAGAAGTGGACTTGTGATGTCAGGTGTGAGAAGTGGAGCTGTGATGAGTTCTGATGTGATAAGTGAGGTGTGAGAAGTGGAGCTGTGATGGGATAAGTTGTGATAAGTTGTGATGAGAAGTTGTGATGTGATAAGTGAGCTGTGAGAAGTGAGGTGTGAGAATTGGAACTGTGATGAGTTGGGATGTGATAAGTTGTGATGAGAAGTGGCCCTGTCAGAAGTGGAGCTGTGATGAGTTGGGATGTGATAAGTTGTGATGAGTTGTGATGAGAAGTGGACCTGTGAGAAGTGGAGCTGTGATGAGTTGTGATGAGTTGTGATGAGTGGTGATGAGTGGTGATGAGTGGTGATGAGCAGTGGAGCTGTGATGAGTGAGGTGTGAGAAGTGGAGCTGTGATGAGTTGGGACGTGATAAGTTGTGATGGGTTGTGATGAGAAGTGGACCTGTGAGAAGTGGAGCTGTGATGAGTTGTGATGAGCAGTGGAGCTGTGATGAGTGAGGTGTGAGAAGTGGAGCTGTGATGAGTTGGTATGTGATAAGTTGTGATGAGTTGTGATGAGAAGTGGACCTGTGAGAAGTGGAGCTGTGATGAGTTGTGATGAGTGGTGATGAGTGGTGATGAGCAGTGGAGCTGTGATGAGTGAGGTGTGAGAATTGGAACTGTGATGAGTTGGGATGTGATAAGTTGTGATGGGTTGTGATGAGAAGTGGACCTGTGAGAAGTGGAGCTTTAATGAGTTGTGATGAGCAGTGGAGCTGTGATGAGTGAGGTGTGAGAAGTGGAGCTGTGATGAGTTGGTATGTGATAAGTTGTGATGAGTTGTGATGAGAAGTTGTGATGTGATAAGTGGATCTGTGATGAGTGGTGATGATAAGTCTACGGCGGCGGAGGCGGGAACAGGAGCGGCGGGATCCAAGTGAAAAACAAGAGCCCGGCACATGATACATGCAGCACACGAGCTCTTTTTCAAGAGAGGCCGCGCAAGTTCAAGCGTCATCATTCCGTGCAGTGTAGGGTACCTGGCACAGGTGATGAGGTAAAAGAATTATGAAATGAAATGATGAGTCATATGAGTCATATGTGACTGAAAGTAGCGGAGTGAACACGCACGCCACAGCTCCTCCAGGAGGCTCTGTGTACTGCGCCCGCGCGAAGCAGCCAGGAAGCTCTCTCTACTGCGCCTTTCAGGAGGCTCTGTGTACTGCGCCTGCCACGTGATGCCAGCCGCAGCCCACCGGCGCCCACGCGCGCCGCAACTCCTTCAGGAGGCTCTGTGTACTGCGCCTGCCACACAAAAGCCAGCCGCGGCCCAGCGGCGCCCGCGCCGCAGCTTCTCCAGGAGGCTCTGTGTACTGCGCCTGCCACACGAAAGGCAGCCAGGAAGCTCTCTGTACTGCGCCTGCCACGTGAAGCCAGCCGCGGCCCAGCGGCGCCCTCGCGCGCCGCAGCTCCTTCAGAAGGCTCTGTGTACTGCGCCTGCCACGCGAAAGGCAGCCAGGAAGCTCCCTGTACTGCGCCTGCCACGTGAAGCCAGCCGCGGCCCAGCCGCGCCCACGCGCGCCGCAGCTCTTTCAGGAGGCTCTGTGTACTGCGCCTGCCACGCGAAAGGCAGCCAGGAAGCTCTGTACTGCGCCTGCCACGTGAAGCCAGCCGCGGCCCAGCGGCGCCCAGCGGCGCCCACGCGCGCCGCAGCTCCTTCAGGAGGCTCTGTGTACTGTGCCTGCCACGCGAAAGGCAGCCAGGAAGCTCCTTGTACTGCGCCTGCCACGTGAAGCCAGCCGCGGCCCAGCGGCGCCCACGCGCGCCGCAGCTCCTTCAGGAGGCTCTGTGTACTGCGCCTGCCACGCGAAAGGCAGCCAGGAAGCTCTCTGTACTGCGCCTGCCACGTGAAGCCAGCCGCGGCCCAGCGGCGCCCACGCGCGCCGCAGCTCCTTCAGGAGGCGCTGTGTACTGCGCCTGCCACGCGAAAGGCAGCCAGGAAGCTCTCTGTACTGCGCCTGCCACGTGAAGCCAGCCGCAGCCCACCGGCGCCCAGCGGCGCCCACGCGCGCCGCAGCTCCTTCAGGAGGCTCTGTGTACTGCACCTGCCACGCGAAAGGCAGCCAGGAAGCTCTCTGTACTGCGCCTGCCACGTGAAGCCAGCCGCGGCCCAGCGGCGCCCACGCGCGCCGCAGCTCTTCCAGAAGGCTCTGTGTACTGCGCCTGCCACGCGAAAGGCAGCCAGGAAGCTCTCTGTACTGCGCCTGCCACGTGAAGCCAGCCGCGGCCCAGCGGCGCCCACGCGCGCCGCAGCTGCTTCAGGAGGCTCTGTGTACTGCGCTTGCCACACAAAAGCCAGCCGCGGCCCAGCGGCGCCCACGCGCGCCGCAGCTCCTCCAGGAGGCTCTGTGTACTGCGCCTGCCACGCGTAAGGCAGCCGCGGCCCAGCGGCGCCCACGCGCGCCGCAGCTCCTCCAGTGAGTGTGAGTGAGTGTGAGTGAGTGTGAGTGAGTGTGAGTGAGAGTGAGTGAGTGTGAGTGAGTGTGAGTGAGTGTGAGTGAGTGTGAGTGAGAGTGAGTGAGAGTGAGTGAGAGTGAGTGAAAGTGAGTGAGAGTGAGTGAGAGTGAGTGAGTGTGAGTGAGAGTGAGTGAGAGTGAGTGAGTGTGAGTGAGAGTGAGTGAGAGTGAGTGAGAGTGAGTGAGAGTGAGTGAGTGAGCGTGAGTGAGCGTGAGTGAGAGTGAGTGAGAGTGAGTGAGAGTGAGTGAGAGTGAGTGAGAGTGAGTGAGTGTGTGAGTGAGTGTGAGTGAGTGTGAGTGAGTGAGAGTGAGTGAGAGTGAGTGAGCGTGTGAGTGAGCGTGTGAGTGAGAGTGTGAGTGAGAGTGTGAGTGAGAGTGTGAGTGAGAGAGTGAGAGTGAGTGAGAGAGTGAGAGAGTGAGTGAGAGTGTGAGTGAGAGAGTGAGTGAGAGAGTGAGTGAGAGAGTGAGTGAGAGTGTGAGTGAGAGAGTGAGTGAGAGAGTGAGTGAGAGAGTGAGTGAGAGAGTGAGTGAGAGAGTAAGTGAGAGAGTGAGTGAGAGAGTGAGTGTGAGTGAGTGTGAGTGAGTGTGAGTTAGTGTGAGTGGGTGTGAGTGAGTGTGAGTGAGTGTGAGTGAGTGTGAGTGAGAGTGAGTGAGAGTGAGTGAGAGTGAG